AAGACGCTATCTAGCGGATATATATTTTGTTTGCTTTGGGACATTAAAAATTTATGAGAAAATGATTTTATATAAATGCTGAGTATAAAGTATCTAAAAATTAATGTGTATATTACAGTAATAATATGATTTGTTGTAACACATTTTCATAATGTGAAAAAACATTCTTATATAGTTAAATAACTTTCCATAATTATTTTAAATTTTTAAAAATTTTTAAACTTTAAAGAAGACTAACATCAAAGTTATGAATCAAATAGTTTTTTTTGGACACAAGTTTAAGTGGAGAAATGAGAATTCAAAAAAAAAAAAATAATAATAAAGTTCTTAAACTTTAATGAAGACTAACTTCAAAGTTATGAATCGAATATAGTTTTTTTTATGTTTTGGACATAAGTTTAAGTGGAAAAATTAGAATTTTAAAAGATATTATATAAAATAATTTCTAAGATTTTTACAATACATTTTTTAATTAAAGAATTATTCCAATATTTTAATTTTAATTTTAGTTATCCAAAGAATGGAAATCAGGATAAGAAATTTGAATAATTTCTTAAATAAACATGAGTGAAAACTCGAATTTAGGGTTTTCAGATAATTCTTATTTGTTTAGAATTTTTTATGATCAATTCGAACACCAAAATAAAAAAAACCATTTATTATTTATTTATTCTTTGTAAATAAAATATTACACAATATAAATCAATTACAAATTCAATCATTTAAAGGAATGCATCGAATTCCCTCTTCAATAAATTTTATGGTGTGAGTGAGAATAAAAATTTGAAAAATTATATGTAAAATAATTGCCTAAAATACTCGTAACAATTGAAACGACTTCATTTCGGTTATTGGGTTTAGGAGAATTTGATCTATATTGATTTTTAATTACTCCGAAAAAATTTTCTATCGGATTTAATTGCGGCGAATAAGGGTGGCAAAATATGATATAATTCTCACTAATTATCTTCGCTCGATGTATAGGAGCATTATCCATTATAAGTAATGAATTTGAAGGTAAAAGTGCGAATAATTCATCCAGGTATGCCTTGAATTTTATCGCAGTAAAAGCCCCATCTATTATTGTGAATTTTTTCAATCCACTTATTCCTATTGTGCATAGCTTACCGGAAGTTTTTAAAAATATAATGTTTTTCTCAAAATTTTCTTTCAAGTTTTTAAAAGTTTTTTTAAAAAAGGATGTATTTTTCTCAACAAGTTTTTACAATAATTACGGAAAGTTAAATTGAAGTGTCGGGGCTTCCGTTATGGGTAGAATGGTTGGTGGCACATCTCGATGATTTTTGGTATGCGTCATTTTAGGTTAATAAAAGCAACTACAACAATTAAATTTTTATTTAATTTTAAAACCAAATAAAAATATAAAAAAATAAGAATTATCTGAAAACCCTAAATTCGAATTTTCTTTCACTTATGTTTATTAAGAAATTATCAAATATCTTATCCTGATTTCCATTCTTTAGATAACTAAAAGTAACATTAATATATTGTAATAATACTTTAAATTTAAAAAAATTTACAATGCATTTAAAAAAAAAATTATTCTAAAAATCTTAGAAAATTTTTATTCTCATTTTCCCACTTAAACTTGGGTCCAAAATATAAAAAAAATTATATTCGATTCATAACTTTGACGTTAATCTTCATTAAAGTTTAAAAACTCTTATTATTAAAAAAATTTTATCAAAATGTTTTTACAATAATTATGGAAAGTTATTTAACTATAAGAATGTTTTTCACATTAAATGTGTTACAACAAATCATATTATTACTGTACTATATCTTGATATGGAATTTTCTTCACCAACAAATCTTTTATAATACTACTGCTTTTAAAGCTTCCCCACATTGGTTGTCATTTTGTCCCCTGTGTCCTTTATTATACTTTACTTTGTTTTACTCGAATTAGTAAATTATAAATAACTTATTATATTTTTTCACTTGAAACATACATTGTTTCTCATATTGTCTCCCCTTTGTCTATCATTATCTAACTTTGTTTTACACGAAATTGTAAATGATAAAAAAAAACTTGTTTTTATATTTTATTCACTTGAAACTGGTCCTAGCCTGTTTTAAGGATGGCCGATATGTATTAAAACTTTACACAGAAATATTTTATTTATTTTTTTTGAGTTCACTATATAAGAGGGAAAAATATGTAAATCTGGATGTAAAAATTATGATGTATTTTATTTTTGTTAAATTTGATTTTTATTTGGAAGGAATCTTTTGATATTTCGTTTACAGTCACTATTTTTAATTAAATGAAATTCACTATTTTGCTATATAACCAATGTGCGTTAAATAAAATGTTGTTTTCTTCATTCTGTGCCACCCGCGACGGTAGTTGGGTACAATTACTAAAATGCCCACTAAACCTAGTCCCACTCTCCTACAATCCCGGACCTTCGAACACCGTCGATCCCTCCCTCTCCCCGATGGTTGAGCTGCCACGTACTTAGCTCCAAATATTTCAAAATTATTTATTTTCTATTATATTTAAAAAAGAAGGGAAACTCATTGAAATTGGTTATAAATATATTATTTATATTTGAATTCCATATTAAATCTCTTATCGTTATCTTTGTATTTACCTGATTTTTATTTTATTATACAAGTTCAAAATTAATTATTCAGTTTTTAAAATTTTTTATATCATTATGATAATTTTATGAAACATGTTGACATTTAAATTAATCCCCATCCAGATAAAAGTATTTTGCTTGCAAAAATAAATTAATGAACACATTTTCAATTTATTAAAAAAAATTAAAATAATCTTTTTTTCTTTAAAATTTATTTTTATGACCGCATTTTTTTATAAAATAAATTTATAAACCGGAAGACTTTTTGTGAGTTAAAAAACACCATATTTGGGTAAAACTTAAGGTATATTCTGGAGTTTGTTCCACTAATTATGATAATTTTTTAACTTATGTTTTCATTGTTTATTTTCTATTATTGTATGATAGTTTCTAAAATGATTTGTAAATCCTTATTTAATATATATTTTATTTAGTTTATATAAAAGATCAAAATTAATTTATTTTTCTCTTTGTTTTTTACGAATATTGATGACATCCGGGGAATTCAGGTGTGTTAATTTATATTCTCCAATATTATAATTTATTTTATAAATAATATATGTCAATAATACTTATCAGATGAAGATAATTTAAGTCTGCCTTGGCCTCAGTATTAAACATTAAACACAAATAAAGAAAATTAAAGATTATAAGTCTACACTTTTAAGTGTATTTTGACCTCAATGTCCAGCAGCTCAAATTCAAAAAAACATATGATGGTAAAAATAGAATTTAGATTAAATTCTGATAAAGAAAATAAAAAATTTTGATGAGCATCTGATTGAAGATTCTAGTGAAGATGATCTAATAAGTTTCTTTTGAAAATTAAGATCATTCATTAAATATTTTTTATTAATTCCTCTATTTATCAATTTTATATATTAAATATAATACAACCCTCCCATCTTACCCCATTAAACTTGTGTTCAGCACAGCGAACGCTCTTGTTTATCTGGTCTAAGTTTTGAAAATCAATTGTTAAAAAATAAATAAAAAAGCAACAACGAAAAAATAACTACGCAATTTTAAATCTTAATTAAAAAAGAAGCAAAGGAAAATTCTAATGCTATAGTTGTGACTAAACAAATTGTCTTGTTTGCGGTCAAAATATTCCGAAGGCAATTTTCCGCGGAATGTCTGCTTTTAATTTGAATAAAAAATTCGTTATATTGTGAGGATATATTTTCATTTATTAAAATACCGTAGATTTACATTTATAAAAACTCGTTTGGGGGGGAGGGGGTATTTTTTTTTTATGATAGCAAAATATTTATAGGTCACATATTTTTAATATGTTATGTTGTGTCGTTCAGATCACGCTAACTAATAGATTAGTGAAAATTATCACTAAAATATTTTTTTCGCCAACACAAATAAAATTACATTTATAAAGTTCGATATCTATTCACATTTGAAGAAACTATTTAAATATAAAATGTATTTCACTCAATAAAAAACATGCAAGATTACTGTATAAACCTATGATTTTTTTATCAATTATAAATACTCTTTTGGATGTAATATTTCATTTCTTTATGTAATGTTTTGGTGATTATCGACATTTTAGTTTAAAAAAAATTAGCCTCTATTATACACTCATGATTTTGGCCTAAAGCCAGCCCTGATTTTTTTTATATATTTTATTTTCAAGCCCGGCTCTCAAATTTTTATTTATTTTTTTAGGCCAGTTCCTAATTTCGAGCTCGGCTCGAATTTTAATCTAAAATATATTAAACGCTTTTTAATAAAGTCATAATATATAATAAAATCATTCAATTGCTTAGCTAAATCCTAAAATAATTATTTTAGAAAATATTACTTTTTTTATTTTTTGATTCCATGACTTCTAGCCTATTTACTGATATCAAATTCTTCTTCAGGTTAGCCAGTTTCCCCTCTGATTTTCCTTCGATTTTTGACAGTCCTGAGCATCAATATTTGTAAAATTCATTTTTCTTATATTTACCGCTATCACTTTTATCCACGTTATCTTAGACCTTCCTCGAGATCTTGATCCTCCTACTTCCATCATGGTGCATCTCTTTACCCAATCATCTTTTGTTTTACGTTCCACATGCCTAAACCATCTTAGTCTATTACTTCTCATTACTATTGATTTGTTAACCCCATTTTTGTTTTTAATATGTTTTTGACGTAATAAAATTTATCACTTATTATTGGCATGAATTAATACTACATTACACCTCTACAAATATTTCCTTTTTCGTTAGGAAAAAAAAGATAATTCAGGTATTTGGACTTATTCCTTATCCTTTAATTAAAACCTTTACATTCACAAATAAGACTAAGCCTTTTAACGGTGGAAGGAAATTATAATCGAATATCTTGAATAACACTAATTTATTAATTTTTTTTTTTTAATGTGAAAAGTGCGGAGCTGATTACGTCAAAGTGAATATGAAGCCTCCCACGGGTATTATTGAAATATTTATTTAGTAAATATGTGAGAGTTTAATTTGCTTTATATAATTAATTTAATTTTGTTTAGTTATTATTATTTTTTTAAATTTATTTAAAAATTGTTAAAAACACCTTTTTCGGATTTAAAATTAAAAGTAAAATTAGAAAGTTATTAAATATGGTAACTTCATTTTAGTGACTTGATATATCCAAAATAAATGTATTGGTTGGGAACATCATTTTAGATAAAATACATAAATAATTCCAATCAATTTAATTTAAAAATATATATAAGGGTTATCGTCAGTTCATGATTTTAGGAAAGAATCCCCATTTTTTGAGGATCAAAACGTCCACTATGCTTCTTTCGATGGCGACGCGGACAGAATAGTGTTTTACTACTTTGATAAAAGTTCTTTTTTGCATATATAATTTAATTAAAATATTTTTAAGACATTTCTAAGGGGTTTTTGAGGTAGGGGAGAAGTGAATTGTATACCCCCTCCCCCGGAAAAATAAATTTTGATTCATACCAAGTAATTTACGATACAATAAAATTTATATTAAAAAAAATATTTTAGATCACGAATTTAATCTCTTAGACGGAGACAAGATTGCTGCTTTGGTAATTGTAATTGTTAATGAGATTTTTATTTTCTGATACTTGGGTATTTTTGGGGGAAAAGTAAACGAAAAATATATTTATAAAGCCCTATATTTTGTAGCAATTTTTTTTATAATATAATGTATAACTCACTCATTTTGTTATATTGAGTTTATTAAATAAAATTATCTTTTTAAAACAGAAATAGTTTTTATAAATTTCATTTTTGAGTGTTTCGAAATCTAATTTATTTAAACCTTTCGTAATATTTTTACTTTTGAAAAAAACAACTTATTTAAATATAGCTGTTTTATGATTATTTTTCAGACTTGAAAAAAAACAGAAATATAAATGAAAAAATTAACCGTAACGAACCGCGAAACCGTTATAAATGTCTGAACCGTAACCGAACTGATATAATTATTTTTTAAAGGAGTGAAAAGAACCTTTATAAAAAGACGTTAAACCGGTTTAAAGCAAAATAAAATTTATAATTCTAATTTTTACATTATTTTCCTTGTGGTGTAAATATATATTTAACCATATTTCCGTCGTTATTTATAATTTTAATTATTAAATGATCAAAACATATGTGTGATCTGATATCCTTATATCCTTAATAAAGTATGTATTAATTTTTTAACTATTACTTAAATTTATCCACAATCTTTTAATTATGCAAAATATCTAATTAAACAATTTGTAGATTTTTGATTTATTAAATTAATTTAAGTATAATATCAGGCCTTTATTTTAAATAATAAATTTGTGTTACATTATAAATTCTATTTAGTTTATCAAATAATTTTAATATATTATATTTGTCTGACCTCATTTTTTGTATTTATTTCTTATAGTATTAGAACCATATTCCTATTTTTTATGTTTTAGTATGCAAAATATCAAAATAGCCAATTTGATTTAGTTGCATTTATTTAATTAATTATAATATCACCACCCACCCTTGAATATGATGGTAGGCTATTATTTAAATTTCAAAATTACCAAATTTATGAAGTTTTAATTTTATATATTATTTATAAAATTTTGGCATTTGAGTATATTTTAAAGCATTAGTTTTCTTAGAGGAATAGTAAATTTTTAAGTAATAATATCCATATAATTTTGCTTTACAACTTGGCAGTATTATCAATTTCAATTTTACAATATTTGTTTGCACAGATCTCATTTTATTTATTGTATTTACGTTAATAATTAATAAAAATTTACTTTATTTGCTTTTAGAAATATGGTCCGTCCCAAATTAACCCAGTCCGTTCATTTTTTAGTTATAATATTCTCTTAAATGAATCAACCTGTATAATAGATAATTGTATAATGATAATTAAAGGTGACCATACAGTAATTTAGAAAGGCATCATTCAAAAGAATATGAATCCCTAACTACAAAAAAATTAAAACTTTCCAAGATCAATATCAAAGCCTAATAATATTTCTATTGAGCAGTCATTAAATTCTCTTATCAAAATTAAAAGGGATAAAAACACATTAGTAAATTCGTGCACAGAACTTATTACTGTACATGGCCGGCCATTTAGCTTATTAGATGATTTCGCTTTTAAAAAAATTATCAACCCAATTATAACAAGACTTGGGGATAATTTTTCTATAAATTCAGAAAATATGAGTAATAATATTAATAAAATGGCCAGCAAATGCCTTGCTAATATAAAAAAAAAGAAATATTCAATAAAAAGATTTCTGTAAAATTAGATATTGCAACAAGGTATGACAGAGCTATTCTAGGCGTCAATATTCAATTTATATCTGATGGAAAAATACAATTACGATCAATATGCATGAGAGAACTTACTGAAAAGCATACCTCGGAAAATATCAAAAAAGTTATTTTAGAAATATTTAAAACACATAACATAGATATTAACAACATATATAGCATAACTACTGATAATGCATCCAATATGGTTAAGTTAATCAAGCTTTTAATGGAGCATGAAGATATTGACGACAAAGATATGATGTTATCACATGAGAATAATTTATCAAATATTAGTAATATCGACGACGTTGATGAAACTGATAATATTATATTTAGCATGACTGGAGCCTTGTTAGTTGGATTTCGATGCGCCTCCCACACATTTCATTTGGCGATAAATGATTGCATCAAATCGTCACTTAATGAATTATTAACAAAGCCAGATCATTGTGCAAAAAAATTCGCACACATACTTCATTAAATATCTTAACCCGTCTAAATCTTAAAAAGCCCCTTATAGATTGCTGTACCAGGTGGAATTCTATCTACCTAATGCTAGAAAAATTGTTAGAATTAAAAGTTTTTTGTGATGAAATAGAAATGGATCAAGGCATTGATCTTTGTGAAGATGTGTGGGATATAATTAAAGATATTTTGAAAGCTATGAAGCCTCTTTTATGACAAAAATTCTTCAAACTGAATAATTAAAATTGGGCGATTTTTATGCTGCCTGGCTAAATTGTCTAATAGAAACACAAAAGGTACAAACACCTTTTTCTCAGCACTTTTCAACATTTATCAAGGCAAGAGAGGCGAATATTAGAAATGATGCCTTTTGTGCAGCCTTATATATGGACCCACGTTATCAGATATTGCTGACAGAAGATGAAAAATTGACTGCCAAAGATCATTTAAATAAAACATGGAAAGCAATTCAGGTCCACATATTTTATTTAGCCTTATTTTGATTATTGTCCGGATTTATTTTAAAAGTTATTTTTCATTTAAAATATATAGGCCTTGGAAAATGATGATAGCCTAGAAATGGATATATTGAAATCTACCTCTAGCTCAGATGATGAATTAGAAAAGCTTCTGATAGTGCATGAGTCGGAATTTAAAAAAGCTACTTCAAATGCACACAAAGAACATAATATTAGAAATATTATTGAACTGTTTGAAGGTGTTGAAAGAATCGACAAAAAATTATCAGTTTTTATATTTTGGGAATCGAAAAGATTTGAATATCCAGAATTGTATAAACTTGCTCTTATAGCACTGGCAGTTCCAGCAACCCAAGTTTCTGAAGAAAGGGCCTTTTCGGGGCTAAGATTTGTGTTATCGCCTCAACGAACAAATATGAATCCATTTATATTAGAAAATATATTACTTATGCTTTCAAATAATATATTTAAAAATGAGTTATTTTGACATATATTTTTTATATATATAATTTATATATGTTTATAATAAAAAATAAATTAGTGATGGCAAAATTTATAATTAAATTCATTATATGATAGTGTTGCTTCAGTAAAAAAAAATTTCTAACCGGAATGAACCTTTATAATTAGCTGAACCGACCGAACTGAACCCTTATAAATTTATTCTTAAGAACCGTAACCAGAACGTAACCATTATAATTTTTTACATACTGAACCGTAACCAAACTGAACCGTTATAAATAAAGGTTCGGGTCCCTGGAAAAAATATCACTATTGATATAATTCCATAATAAAATAACTACAATTTTATTTATCATAAAACACAATCAAAATAATAAATTTTAAACAAAGGAGTTGGTTTTTCGATCATCCTTTTCATCTCATTAAACACTAGTGATTGACATGACGTCTTCATGCATATCATATAATATTGTCATAAGATATTATAAATAATTAAATTTTTAATCTACTAATATACATTTAAACATTATTTGATTGACATTGGATATAATATTAAGTTATGTTATATATATATATATATATACTAGCTGATAACCCGTCAAGAATGACGGGGAATCAGAATTTTCTCCTTATGGATAAATAATAAATGTTACTTTCATTTGACGATGGATGAATCAGAATAGTCAAATGAGAAGAATAGATTATCCGTATTCATTCTTCCAAGATTTCTATAAATTTTTAAAGAAAAGGTCAAATATATTATGGAAAATATGGAATAAAAAAATATGATTTGTGAATTATGATATTTATAAATTCTTTTAACAAATTTTCCACATTCAAACGCAATGGTTTTTACCCTCACTTCATATAAAATCTACATTCATCAGAATCATTTAAATGCTTTAAAACCTTCCTAAATACTCTTTTAAAAAAGACCTTCCATCATAGATTCGAATCAATTATGGGGGAAAACCTGTTTATCTCACAAACACCGTGGTGGTATCCATCCCATTGAAATGGGCTATTTAGAAGATTATTAGCAAAAATAATTGTCATGTATCAATACCCAGGGTTGGGTCTTAATTAAGTATACTTATCAATTGGAATTTAATGTTAAGGGATAAGGCAAAATAGCTTCACATGCCATTTGTATTATATCCAAAATCCTCCTCCTGACATGGGTATTATAATAGACTTTAAAAGCTTTCAGTTACAAATTTCATAAATTGTTTTTATCGCAAATTTCTTATTTATTCAAAATTCCTAGAGACATACTGTAACATTAAAACCCCTTTATTCAGCCCACATGTCATAGATTCTGACGAAAGGATCCAGCAGGGGGCACACGTCCTCGTTTATTTTACCTTGGTATTCATTGTCTCATCTATTATTTTAAATCTAAATTTGAGTTGGATATAAATTTTTGGTATCTTGATGATAGAACACTGTGATGCTCTTCCAAAAATAATTGGTTTTTAATTACTTGAAGCCAATTCTTAATAAGTCCAAATTCAAAATCTGTTTCCATGATAACAATATACAAAACCCTCATCTAGCAGGATTAAATTTTTTATTGAGTACGTAATTAATAAAAATTAAAAAATAAGGAAATTAATGTAATTAAAAAAAAGTATTTAAAACATATTTCAAATATTTGTTCATATTGAATGCAATAAGTAGGGGAGACCAGGGCTAGTCGGCGCAATTATTGTCAAAATCATCATAGCTCCGAAAATAATTATCATATAGAAAAATACAAAATACCAATCCCTTAAACATCTATCTATAAATATATGCTGTTATATTTTTTAAATATCTAATATTTTTTTCTCTAAAAAGTTTTAGTAAAAGTCATTTTTTGAACCTAGTAGCCC